GTGGCTAAAAATACTGGAGGCTGGGTTATGCCACCCCTCTAGTCCCCTCACCATGCAGAAGAGGGCATCTAGGGGCTCACTCTGCACAGCCCATGTGAGGGCTGTCCCCATCATCTCCCCCCTGCTCATGAGAGCACAGAGACTGTAAGTTGTCCATTTGCACCAGTGGTGTAAAAAATAGGGGCAGACTGAAAGGGATGATAAACTAGTTAACAAAAGGACATAACATCCCATCAGGCTCTCCAACAGTTGACTCTACCCAGCCCAACTAAATGAATTAAGGAACCTCTGGATTTAACAACACTGAGATATTTTATGAGCTGTCAGCCTCATTTGAATGCACTATGCCATTTAAATTTAAGTGTGAACTATAGCATATCTCATTAAGTTTAAAGTGCTGTTTTAATATTATTAATATTAATTTAATATTTCATTATTATTTAATATATGAGTTGGAGGGGAATGTTAGGCTTTTTGGCAGGGGGGGGATTATTTGGAGGTTTTTACTTTTGAAACTTGTTTGGGGGGGGAAATTGACCCTTTCAGGGCCCATTTGGTTTCACCAAAGTTTTCCATTTTGGAAATATTCAAGTAAACCCTGTAAATATCATCAGAGGAGAAGCCTTCTGGACTTAAAACTAAGTGTGTGCAAAAGCATTAACCAGCTACTAACTAGCAAGACTTTATAGTGAAATCTGTGACAATAAACCCCAAGGAGATTCCCCTCCAACTCATATATTAAATAATAATGAAATATTAAATTAATATTAATAATATTAAAACAGCACTTTAAACTTAATGAGATATGCTATAGTTCACACTTAAATTTAAATGGCATAGTGCATTCAAATGAGGCTGACAGCTCATAAAATATCTCAGTGTTGTTAAATCCAGAGGTTCCTTAATTCATTTAGTTGGGCTGGGTAGAGTCAACTGTTGGAGAGCCTGATGGGATGTTATGTCCTTTTGTTAACTAGTTTATCATCCCTTTCAGTCTGCCCCTATTTTTTACACCACTGGTGCAAATGGACAACTTACAGTCTCTGTGCTCTCATGAGCAGGGGGGAGATGATGGGGACAGCCCTCACATGGGCTGTGCAGAGTGAGCCCCTAGATGCCCTCTTCTGCATGGTGAGGGGACTAGAGGGGTGGCATAACCCAGCCTCCAGTATTTTTAGCCACTTTAAGAGAAGCAGGCTAAAGAATTGCCATGCCACTGATTTATAATCAAGTTAAATGGCAACAGCTCTTTGTTCTTTCCTCAGGATGCTTCACCCTTCCATTCTAATACATGTGCCCATGTTGCCTAGGATGCGCATTTCTAGTCCCCTGAACAACGGTACCACAAATTGCATTTTAAGCCCCCTTTTCAGCAGTATAAGGTCATTATCAAAAATCTTGTGTGACTTCTTGTGTGGCATCAAGCTATTCTGCCAATATCTGCAACTGCTAGCAAACTGCTTAAGAGGTTTTGTGCCTGATAAGGGACGTTGAAGTCCTTTTTGTTCAGGACTTTTTTTTCTTGAATCTATATTTACTGCAAGTCTGTGTAGAGAGAGCTCATGTGCATTTACCTCTGAACAATAAGGTGGAAAATGCCAGATTGATTCCCATAGGATGGCTTTGGACAGTATCTTCTCTACGTAGATAAGTTATGTATAATTAAAAGTAAGTAGATTATGTATAATTAAATATACATTATATCTCTATAAATACATATACCTATTACATGTATGTCTATCTACATATATGTATAGATGTATCTTACTTATATACGTATGTTTTATTTCATTTTTTAACTTGTTTTATTTATTATATGTAATGTATGATTAAAAGCAGAATCAGTCACTGACTCGTGCTGTAGCTGAGAGCTTCCCTGCTGAGCCCAACACAGTGGTCATGAGGGACTGTTTCATGGTAGGATCTATGAGCACTCGCATTATAACATTCGGACCAAATCCTTGAGAACCTAATCCACAGAGGCACCTTTGAGGGTTCTTTTGGTGCTGCCGGCATGCTGTCTGTCTCCCCTGCCCACTCCCAGGGTGCCCAGTGAGCTGCTCAGAAAGTGCAAGGGCTCACAGCGGCCGTGCCCGTGGGGTGTTCCCAGTGCTGTTGGCAGACCTTGAGGCTGGAAGCAGTAGATGCACAGTTTCACCAGCACGAAGCATGAGTCCCAGCCATGGGGGACTCCTCGGGGCCCCCAAAGGATGGAATCCCTCCAAGTGGATGTTGCTATCCTCTGCTGGCAGAGCACCAAAGGGCAGGTGGAAAGATGATGGGCATGCCCACCCCCCTTGAGGACAGCTACATTTTATAGCAGTGTGACTCTGTTCCTATCTATCTCAGTTTCACGTCAGGGAACACCTCCAGTTTGGGGAGGAGATTGCAGCCTTTCATGCCTGGAGACAAGGCTGGAGAGTGTACAGCAAAGCAGACACAGCTGCTCTCTGACTTGGGATCTCCTCACCAGCTGGAGTCTTACTGGTAAACCGCAAACACCACCAAAGGCAAAGGGTGCTGTACGGGGCAGCAGCAGTGCACAGCGCACGGGCTGCCTGCCCATGTTTCACATCCAGTGAATCTGGTAGTTTTGAGTCAGGACTGTATTCCGTTCATAAGGGAGACATGGTGGAGAAAAAGCAGATCAGTGTCTTCAGCAATAATTTGCTCATTCCTGTGCATTTGTTTGCAGACTGGAAAACACACATAGTCTGTAGGTGTGAACTCTGCCTGTGGGAGCCGGCAGACAAAGACAGCAGGATGGGGAGAAGCCAGCACCCACGCGTGGCCCTTCCTGGATGAAGTACATCTAAATTCTTCATTAGTTCTCCCTAAGACACATATGGTTTGGCACTCATCTGAGACAGCTCCCAGTTTTCCCAAATTAGGAGTGATATCACCGTCAGTCACTAACAGTCAATCCTATCAGTGTCTGTGAAAGCTGAGTCAAAGTAAGATGAAACCCCCCTCTACGTTGCAGTGAGCAGTGTTTCACTGAGATGTTGCTGGGTTTATTTTCCCCGCGTAACTCCCCGTGTTTGTAGACTGAAGCAGACAGATGACCCAGCAAACAGTTTACAAATACCAGTCACTTTGTAGCACATCAGCAGATTTTCCATATGTCTGCCACAGCTGCCATTTAAACCCAACAGCTTCCCAGTTGGAATCCGCCTCTTCTGTCCTAGGGCACTGCATCACCTTGATCTCTCTGGGACCACAACTGAGCTTAAGTGGGCCAAAAAGTCACCGAGTCACACAACTTAAACATTATACCACAACCATGCAAGGAGGAAGGTCTCAAGTATCTTCTCCCCTAGGAAAAAAAAAAAAAAAAAAAAAAAAAAAGGAACAGAGCAACAGTTATGGCCTGGAGAATAAAGCAAGCTTTACCTCAGAAAAAAAATGGTGGAAGAACTGTAAAATATCTCTAAGCAGGCAGTTGGAAAACAAGGTAACATGTTCCCTCCCATAATGAATTAAATTCCAGATAAATTCCTATGAGAATAAATTCTCATCAAAGTGAGCCTTAAAGGAGTATAGATTTTGACATTTTGTGGCAGTTTGTATACCTGGCAATGAAGATATAACACAAGACACTCTGGGTGGTGCAGTGGAGGTGAAGAAAAAAGCATGTTGTCATGTTACAACTGAAGAACACAGCAATCCCACTGCACTGATTTCTGTGCAACTTCCTTCTAGGAAATACCGCTCCACTTCAATTTAGTTTCTATTTTATAGCTAATTATTAAAAGGCTGGGTACTCCTAAGAAGTTGCTTTAAGAAGGCAACAATGAGATACAGTGTTAAAATAATATAGAACATAAAAGCCAAAGTAGCTTTTCGTAAAAGTCCTCATACAAAAGTTGTTTTGTTTTGTCTTGGTACTTGGCTGAAAACAAAATGCACTCCAAGTACACATTAAGCAAAGTTTGTTTCATGTTACAAAATGTAACTTGCAAAGAAAACCAATGTTTGTTGTACGTATACAAACCTTAAAGCCCTTTTTCTATGTGCTGGTGGTATGTGAATTATAATAGACCTGTTGAGTGTTTCAGACCAATGGTTTCCACTTTTTGTCATTCAAGGTGAGTAGTAAAAAAAGTATTCCCTCATCACCACATTCTCAGTGATTAGTTTTGTTCATACCATGCAAAGCTCACACCAGTGCTGTGGAATTTGTGTCTACTCAAAATGGAACAGACACAAATTCTCCTCTTTGGACAATATTCACAGTATTGTCAGGAGAATTCACGGTATTGTCAGGACTAATGAAAGATTTAGATTACTCTTTCACACTGCCAATTTGATAAACTGTTACTTGTTTGGATAGGAAAGTAAGAGGTTTTGGGGGCCCCACAAAGGAATCAAGATATTTCTGAGAGAGCAGGGTAGTGCTAACAAGGACTGGACATCCTTAAATGTGCAGGTCATCAGATGCTGCAGCAGTTGCATACATTTGCTATGGAAGCATTGACCCGGTCCAGAGGGGAATTTGCTGATCTGGTGATCTAAAACAGTGGCATCTATGCTGTAGATGAGTGCTCTTCTGGCTTACACCAGCTTTGTGCGTGCTGTATTCAGCAGAAAATAAATTCAGGCTGACAAACATCCTAAAATACCAGGAAAGGAAATTACCTATAAGCTCCCCAGCAGCTATGTGAAATGTGCTGAGCACTCATGCTCCTGGCTGCAGCAAGGATCACAATGAGAGAGAGGGAGTGTGATATCCACCCAAACACTTCATGTTGCAAGAAGTGTGAGGAGCAGTTCCTCAGCTCACGTTCTACTGCTGCTACTGGGCTGGGCTGGTGGGGTGGGGAAAATTCTCTGGCCGTCATGGTTAGAAGTTGCTTATTCCTTCCCTGAAATCCTGGTGAGGACGGTGATGTCAGAGCTGCTAGGCAGCCAAAATGACAGAAAAAGGTTTTAGAGCATCAAGAGGTTGCAGACAACTTCTGAAGATCTAATGTGTTTGTGCCTTGAGGCACATGTGAAACATGAGTGTAAAACGTGGCCAGGATTTCATGTTAATGCAGAAGACTTGCTGGAAGTCGTTGCGTGAAGCTGAGCTAGCTGGCTGTTCGGTGTACGTGCAGAGACAGCGGTTTCACACAATGTTCTTTCACACACACAAAGTCATGATGCCTTCCTGGGAAAGAAATAGCCGGTATGATATTCTCATGGTGGCTTAGGACCACCCACAGTTTTATTGCTGTCCCTAACACTGTGCTGTCACCATCTCGGTATTTGCTACCTGCCTTGTGCCATAAACCCATCTGAGTGTACCTCGTGGCAGTGACCCACAGGATGAGCAAAGCAAGCCCTGCCAGCTTCCCCTCTGCTCTGCAGAGCCGGCAGGCCGGTGACCGCTTTGAGGCGGCCGGCATAGCGGTGCTGCTCACCCACATGCGGGGCCATACCCCATACCATGCGTACAGCAGTCCTCAGAACATGAAAGGACAGCCTTGCAGCTCACCATATGTTGCTTTCGCCAAGTTTGATGTGTTCTGGTGATGTGGGTGGTGAGAGTTCTCAGGGATACTTATGGAGGACACTGGGTGATTTGGCCTGAGCCTGGTGGCTGTTGGTCACTTTTATAATTTCTTAAGGGATTTTCTACTCCCAAGCCCAAGTTTCACTACTAGCACACAGCTGCTGTGTGCTTAGCTACAGCAGACATAAACTGAAGTGAAACAAAAATTTCCACCTGAGCTAACAGGATAGTATAGATTTAGCCATGCCTCTAATGTAGCTCATAACCTGAGTAGAAAATAATTTCCTATCAGCCAATCATGCTTCATCAAACAAAAAAACAGAGCCTGAAGAAGTACCAAAGGGATCATAGTTACTTGTTCAATACAGAGTGCTGAGAAAGGATCCTAACAGTCCTCAGGATTTTGGTAAGACTGAAACTTTTTTGCCAGCATTGCAGATGGTAGAGTTAAGAACGGGTATTCATCAGGAAACAGCAACATTTGTTTTCTTTCCTCCTTTCTGTCTTCTGTCTGAGAATAAACTGTCACCACTGTAGCTATTATTTATAGGAATTTAGATCAAATGCCAAGTACAGAAATATTTCTTTCCTTACCACTGACTCACTCCAAGTATTGTGGTAAATTACCCTCTGCTTTTCATTTAGTATAATCGGTAAAGTTGACTTGTGTCCTATGATATGAGATTTTATCTCCAGCCCCGAGTTGAGGCTTTTTATTTGTCTGATTGTTTTTAATTGCATTTCTGAGTAGGTACAGTATGTTTCAAGTGTCTTGAGTTGAGATAATAGATATTGGCACTGCAAAGACAAATAGGGTAGCTCTGTGCTGAGGGAAACGGGGGGCACGTGGGTTCTTTGAAAAGGACAAGTGGGAATACCTTGGAAGAAATAGGGTATTTGAACAGTAACATCAAGAAATTACTTCTGTGGTGAAGACTGCACCTAGTATTTCAGTGCTGGCCATAACTGATAGACTTTTTTTCTCTGGTTTGGGAAATTTTTGAAGAAATCATGTGAGCTGAATCCTTGTTGAGGTTGTAGCTGATCTACTAACAAACTTTGGTGAGAAAGCACTGTGCAGTGTCTGGGGTATGGCACTCTGAGAGGTCACATACTCTCCTAAAAATGCTCAAATGCACTTACTGGCCTGCAGCTGCCAAACAGCTCTTCTCAGTGGTGCTAGTTTGTTGTAGCGGGATTAGTTTACGTTACCACTGCATTATCAAGAGCAAGACAAATCTTTATTGCCCCCTCTTCAGGGCAGTTGTGGTAAAGTGAAGTTACTCCCTGAAACTCGGGGAAGACACACAAGGTTCAGCGTGCATTTGAAGAAGCTTCTCAATTTTAATAAAGCAGTTTTGGCTTTTGAGTCTGAGCATGACTAAAACTGGCTTTGTTTAATATTTGTCTTATGTGCTTGAATTCCCTGAACCCATACTAAGTTGTGCTTAACACTATAAATATGATCTTAAGGCCATTATGTAGCCATATAGGCTAGGAGGATTTAACAAGAATCTTAACTGTAACCAGATTTTGCAAGTTTCTAAATGAGTAATTTTTCACTTATTAGATGTTTTTAGCCTCTTTTCGTCATATTGTTTCCTCAAACTTATTCATTACTTTAACACACTAGACAGATGTTTTCAAACAATACATTGTGGATACCAAAACCATATTCTGTTATAGATTCTTCTGTGATCACCTCAGGAGTCACTCACAGGAAAACATTAAATGATGTGAATAACATCTCTCAGTTTTCTTTCTTCTCCCATATTTTCACTAGAGGGAGGTGTACATTTTGTAGAGCTGCTTGTTTTGAAAAGGTTTATGTTTGATGAATTTGTTTTTCCTTGAGCATTAAAGAAGCATGGGTTGGTTTGTTTTGTTGCTATGTATTTCTTCTGGTAGAGACAACAACAACAACAAAAAAAAATCAGTATGCACTTAAGGGAGTACATAAGAGGTTTATACCTGGGGAAGATCATTTCCAGGTGAATTCCATCGAAATTTTTATTTCAAGCTTTACTTTCACAATGAGCAAATGTGCCAGACATCACTTTCATCTCAGAACCTTGGTGGGAATTGTTTGAACTTTAATATGTCAAACCGCAATGACAAAGACTGAATCTATATTAGATTGAAAGTTTATGGGACATTTCTGAAGTGCCTAAGGCTTAAAGACTACTGTCCAGTTGCTGTGGTCCACAAAAATAGTGAATGAAGATACTCAATTCACTTTGAGAAATAGTGTGTTTTGAGAAATAGTAATACTTTTGATCTCAGTATATGAGTACTTGAGATATTTTGTTGTGAAAAATAATTTTGCTGTGAAAATCAACCTTAAGTAGACTTTCTGCTGAGATGTATGCAAGTCTTATGGAAAGTCTTATAATGTCATGGAGAAGAAATGTGGCTAATCCATGCGATGTTTGGGCAGACTTTTGAACCTTTACTCTTTATTCACCCAGTTGTAATCCTGAGCCTGCTAAGGCTGCATTGCTAAGTATCCACTACCTCCGTGAAAGCCAAAGAGTCTGCACAAAGGGTCAGCATCACTTCCTTGCATCTCATATGTTAGTTACCCCTCATCAGGTCCTAGAGTGCTCAGGATGTCCACCTGGCTATCAACATGCAGATTTTGCTCCATGGCTTGCAGCTTTATTTGAGCCAAAAGGGATAGGTAGGAGAGAAATGAGTGAGAAAAAGGTAAAATATGCGAATCAGTTTCAGATATATTGTCTTAAATATATAATGCAGATTGGCTTGGTTTTCTAACCCTGGAACTCCAGACCCCAAATCGTCCCTTTTTAAGAAAATCTTTACAGGATCCAGGCTATGCAATTTCAGTGGATTCATTCTGCCAGCAAGTCAGACAATCTCCTGAGGGCTGTGAGAAGGCCCCAGTCTGCCAACAGCTTGTGGCATGGCAATGACTTCCAGCTCATCTCACTCTATAGTTGTGGATGACCTGTGCAACATCTTCTTCTTCACCTATTTGCTCTAATTTTTCTAGGAGTATGTATGCACTGCCAGAGCTCCAAGCAACTGGGAGCAAATCATGAGCCCATGCCAAAACAGTCTGCCTCTCCACAAAATCTTTCAGCTGAGGTGTGGCATGATGTTAACCACAGCAGATCTTCAGTTGGCTGACAACGAAAGCAAAGCTTACCTTTGTGTAATCTTACACAAAGCGGAAAAACAGGCAACAGGGCTTTGTATTTCTGGGTGGAAGATGTCAAGAAAACTTTTATAGCACAGTTTATGGGAACCAGTTTCACACATATGTGAACAAAAAGAACAGATTTCTTTCTTTTGACCTTCCCAGTAATGCCTCGAGCATCTTTACAGCAGAGTATCCCTACTCAAGTGCCTCAACCACACAAATGCCAGCTCTATGGGGGAGGAAATGGTAGGTCTTGTGCCTTTCTACCTCTGCTGCAACAAATATAGAGGGCTTTGGCTGTCACATGTGTTCATACAGATAAAAAACATTGCTAAATGTGCACACAACCCCAAAACACTACTCACCACAGACCACAAACACCTCCTTCACCACTAAATGAAAAAGGAGCTTTATCACATTATCTCTCCACTTTCCAGGGTAACTTTTCTTCCTCTAATGTCTCACCCTTATTTTGTGCTCGGCTTCATGTTTTCAATGGCAAGTTCAGCATAAACTTCTAATGCTGTTGGACCCACCATAGACACTGCCCAGCTACTGTCCAACCTAGTTGTGGAGTTGTCATAATTAATGAGAAGATTCCTACTTCTGTCTGTAAATGCACGAGCAGGCCTCGTCTGTGATCCAGCTGGCATACAATCAAAGGTCTATGAAATGTCACTCTCTTTGAAGACACTTGTGAAGAACATAGCATGGGGGACAAGTTTCACCCTCTCGTCTTTCAGACCAGCACTAAAGGTTACGCTGCAACAGCTCTGCTTTGCTGGGTTATTCAAGTCTGTACAAAGGTAGCTTGTATCAACTGACAGTGAGACAAACTGGAGGTGTTATAGGTCATTTGTGTGAGAAATATGCTAATAATTCTGAGATTTTAGTCATTTTAACCAGTTTCATTTTTGTGATGTGACCTCATAATCCATTTAAATGAGGATTAGCACAGTCATCCAGAAACTCCAGCTTAATGACATTAACTCAGAATTAACAGAACATCTATTTACTATGAAGATACAGGACTGCATTATTTTTTTTCTGTAGAAGGTGTGGGGTTTTGTTTAAGAAATAAATACATAATTTTTGGACGAAAACATTGGATTTTCAAATGTAAATCTTGAGTTTTAATATAAATGTCAGGGCTTAGTTGAAATGTCTATGTGAAGAAGAAACAGAGAAAAACAATGCTCACCTGAAAATCAATGTTTTATCAAAATTCCAATTCCAGTAGTTGCAGCTGAAATTTTCTTTACTGAAAGAAATTAACTGCAGCTAGGGACGTAGCTAACATACCTTCTTACGGTAGCAGAGAAAGAGTTTAACTTTCCCCCTGAGCTAGGAAACTCCCATCTGAACATCCACCATGAATTACTTTTAGAGAAGGGTTTTTCCTCTCTGTGAGAAGCCATCCACCACTACTGTGTACCAACATACCAAAATATCCACTCACAATAGATGTCAGGTACAGTGGCTGACTCTTACATTTTTCTACTGTAGACTGGTTTTCATTAATCAGCTGAAAAATGCATGGGAGCAGTTAGTCAGAAAAGAAGCCCTGCCTCACAGCTGTGACAGTCTGCCATGATGCATCTATCATGTCTGAGCCCCCAGTCACAATTTCTTTCCCTCCATCTGGTATAAATATTTAGTACTTTTGATGTCACAGTTTCAAATGAATGGACTTAGGCTATTTAAATATTCAGGTGTTCCTTGTCTCTGATGTATTTTGAAGGTAATGGCTTATCTCAACCCTTCATATACCTGTGATTTTTTAATGACAAAACAATGATTTCGTGATGGTTTTTTATGGTGACTGGAACAATGGCAGCCTTGAACACCAGTTTAAGTATTTAATAACAGTTATAACATCTTTGTCATTCTCAGCACCAAGAGGGTTTTCTGGATGCCTCACTTCCCCATTGATGAAAATGAGAATAGCTCTCAAGTTCACTTCCTCTGACAAAATCTAATCACCTTCACCAAAAGAACGGTGGTGTTGCTCTGAGAACTTGTCTCTGTGAGGTTTTCTGATTTACAGAAGGTTTTCAGGTTTGCCAGTTCTTGTGAGTGCAGTGATTACCTTCAGGGTCTTAAGGAAAAGCTACTGTAGTGTCAGTGGACATGAAAGTGTCAAAGGAATTATCTGTCTGTAGAAAGAAGAAACATTTTGCTTGAGCGCTAACGTTAGCATCTGCTTGTTTGTTCCACATTGCCACTGAGGTAACCTCTGTAAATAATTGATATTTGTAATATTTATAAGTAGTGCCCACTGTTCCAACATCATTTTAGTGTCTTTCCATTCAAGGTTTATTACTCCTTAAAGCATCAGCTGCCAAACCGATTCAGGAAGGAAGATGGATAAATAGAAACTTTCTCAAGATGGTTTTATTTCCATCTGAAAAACATCCATACAAAAACATGCAAGTGAGCCCTGACCATGTGGCAAATCTGTTGAGAAGCTCAGTCGAGCTTCTTACAGAGGAATTTTATGGTCAGACAGTGCCATCTGTGAAAACCAAATTCTGTTCCTGAAGCTCTGCTTTACTTTATTACACTAAGCGTTGCAGTTCTTCCATTGCCCATGCTAGTTAGGTTAATTCTGTGCTTGCTTTTCTTCCCTTAGGTTAATTCTGTGCTTGCTTTTCTTCCCTAGCATCACCTGTAAGCTACCACCTGCAGAGGGTGTTAGGAAGAGACTGCTTACTCAGTCATGCTGTGACTAACTACTCTGCAAAGATGCCAAAAAAACTCCCCAAAAGTCTTCTGTACTGGTAGTCAATCAGTGGGTCCAAGCTGAGAGGGAAAAGCCTCCTTCTGAAATCTTTAGGAATGACACTACTGGTAGTCTAGTCATCTTTCTCTAATGGGATGAAGTTGTAATGTCCTGCTTTGAGGAAGGTGGAATTAAATAAAAGGAAACCTGACAAAGCTAAACAAGGCATGAAGATGAATTAAAAGAAAATAGAGAACGCTCCCCATTAAAGGGATTTATTACCCTTTAATGTAACATTTGCATTAAAATATTTTTCTTCTACTTCGAAAGTGTAATGTGCTTTTGCAGACTGCTTTAGAAGCAGTAAAGGTACTTTCTTACAGAACCAACAACAACGAGCAAAGAAAACAAGAAGAACAAGAGGCCTTTGAGAAATGAAACTGCCCAGTATGAAGTCCAGCAGGAACTGGATCTCATGGAGAATAGACAGAAGAGAGTAGAGGTATCTATGCAGCCATTTTAAAATAAAAACAGCAACAGCAGGGAACAAAAATTCCACAAGTGGCATGAAGCTCCTTGCTATAAATCCCAGTGAAAGGGGAAGCTGAATATATGTGGTGTATATGCACCTCTCCCACACTAAATGTTTTACCGTAAGAACGACATTGAACAGTAAAAACCCAATACTGCACTCCACAGTAAATCTGAAAGGAAAAGCAGACATAAGAGGAGGGGAAGGTAGTTTAGAATAACATTATTCTAAGGGACCAGGACAAAGTTCTGCCCTTTGATTTTGATTTTCTGTCAATATTAGATTTAAAATGTAGATTTTTATTGTATTGTTCAGTCTTCATCCTGGCTTTTTGATTTAGATTTTGTTGAGACAGAATTTGGCCCACCCATGAAAAGAATACAAGGTGAAAATGAGGTTCCCCATGCTTGCAAATTGGTTTGGAAATTCCTCCTGCTGTCAGAATGAAGCTATTCTCCATTCTGCATGGAAGTCATTCTGCCATCCTGACCCAGGCAAAACTTCTGTGGATTTGAATTGTATCTTCCTGGCTGTGGGTTATAGTTCTTAAGAATTTTTTTAATGTGTATACTTTTCCTTAGCAGGATGTGAAGCACAGCTGGATAAAAAAAATAAACAGTTTTGAAAGTATCATTTGTTTTCATGCTTGAAAGGGCAGCTTCAGCTAGAGTATTATTGTGCCTATATATGCAAGCATAATCAACATTTCTTCTGGTGACTTAGTAATATATTGCTTTTCTAAATGTCTTTTAAAATGGTTGATGAAATCATCTTAATTAGATGATTTGCTTTAGCATCTGCTGCTGTTGTCATTTCATTTTCGGTGTTTTCATTTGGTGAAAAGATTTTTCTTTTCCATCTTGCAAAACAACATAATAACTGTGTGCACATATGTAACTGTAGAGTGTATACATGTATTTTTAGTACACTCTGTTCCTTCAGCTGTGCTTCGGTAACCTGGTAAGCTTCAGTTCCTTGTGTCTGCATGATCATGATGCACAGCATAGGGGGACTTTCATAACGTGATAAAAGAGCTGTGAAATTTCGCATTTGCTGTTGAAATAGAAAAAAAAAAATCTGTCTCAACACCAGCAGTTTTTTTGTAGGTTACAAAAATTCTTTAAAATAAACACTAAGTGAGGAACAGAACCACAGTCTCTGTAAGTGTAAAGAGAATTATTGTAAGCTTTGTGTAGCTCAATGTTTAGAACTTTAAAACTGCTTCCTGTTATTCTCCTGGCTTATTTTCAACCATCTTTAGACTCAGTCAGCTGCTGAGATGTTTCCTT